GGACTACGAGCCCACTTCTTCGGATGCGTCCACGAAAGCTTATGCTCTAATAAATTTGTTAGTCTCTAAGGTGCCACAAGTACTCCTGTTCTTCTTTTTGTCTCAACTTGCTGATCTACTTAAAAAGGCAATGTACTTAGAGTGGGGTCAGCGTACTTAAAGGGGCAATGTGCATCTCTCTCACACACACGGTGTGTGTCTCTCTCTGCCATGCTGTCTCCCCTCCCTCCATTCATGCTGCCTTGTAGAGCGTGAGGCTACATTAACAACAATGTGTTAACTCTTGAGGGCTCAGCCGCGTAATAGTTTCTCATTTAGTGATAAGGCACTCCCTGGAAATATCCCACCCTCTGACTTCACCACCTCAACCAAGCTTCACAATCATCATCACTGTGTACCAGTATTAAATTGTTTGTTTAAAACTTATTACTCTGTGAGTGTGTGTGTGAGTGTGTGTGTGAGTGTGTGTGTGTGTGTATATATATATATATATATATAAATAAAAAATATAGTCTTTTGTCTAGTGAAAAAAATGTCCCTGGAACCTAACCCCCCCATTTACATTAATCTTATGGGAAAATTGGATTTGCTTAACATCGTTTTGCTTAAAGTCGCATTTTTCAGGAACGTAACTACAACGTTAAGCGAGGAGTTACTGTACATACAGTAATGGCAAAGTTCTTGGTTCAGGCTTGTAGCAATGATGGAATAAACTGCAGGTTCAAATCAAGTCTCTGGAACATCCCCAGCTGGGATGGGTCATTCAGTCCTTTGTTCAGAGCTTCAGTTTATAGCAAGGTCCCTCCAGAGGTCAGAAGCAGGACTGAAGACAAAATGGAGATGATGATGCTGCCTTTTATAGTCTCTTGCCATGTGGCCTGTGCCTCCTTTGTTCCGACCACAAGCTGCCCAGCACATGGCTTGGAAGCCTTAGAGTTCTGCGTAGGCAAGTCCCTGCATGTCTTGCTGAGTCACAAGGAGTATCTGCCTTCTCTCAATGGGTCAGTTGTATTAGCTGATGGTCCTTAATGGGCCATCAGTGCTGATGCCAAACTGTCTGGGGGTGTCACCCAGAAGCATAGCACAAGTTTGAAATACAGACATATCTATACCTCATAATACAAAGGTGATACAAACATATAAACAAGATGATCATATCTAGCAAATTATGACATTTTTGTAAAAGGAACAGGAGTACTTGTGGCACCTTAGAGACTAACACATTTATTAGAGCATAAGCTTTCGTGGGCTACAGCCCACTTCTTCAGATGTGAAAGCTTATGCTCTAATAAATGTGTTAGTCTCTAAGGTGCCACAAGTACTCCTGTTCTCTTTGCGGATACAAACTAACACGGCTGCTACTCTGACACCTGACATTTTTGTAGATATCTTCCATGGCAGATCTGGCTGTGACCGGGGTCCCAGTGGGGGCCAGCTGTGGTCACTCCATTAGGGTGAACTGCAAAGAATGGGGCAGACCATCCCCAGAAAGCTGGTGGCTATTCCAGTACTTAGAACTTCACATACAAAAATGATCCATGCGCACAGAGAGCAGAATCCTAACCTTGTCTTAGACACCTCACTCGACAACCTTCGTACAATATTTGCTGCAAATATATACCGGTGGTTGCAACAATGATCCATATGGTCGTATTCTAATCAGATAACATCACACCTGGCCCTTGCTCTGAGCTCACCCACTGGGAGGGTGGGAGCCTCCTTTCATCAGGGTCCCAGCCGTGCGGCTTGTGCTGTGCTGGGCCATGGCTAGGGACTGATGAGCCCGTGTCACATGTTGAACTCTTGCTTTGCCACGCAGTTTTTCATGCATCTCGCTGGGTTTGCTTCCTGGCATTCTTGGGGGCTCCGTTAGGGATGCTTTACGTTTTACCCAGCGATGTGTAGCGGCAGCACAGGTGATCCTTGCCTTCAGTGGAATGGCTGGCTGTCCAGGGACGCCTCGTGGTGATTCGGCAGGACAGGTTGCCTTTGGAACAAGCATTTGATAGTAGTGCGGTGGTGTCCGCTCATGCAGTGAGCTAGTCAGTGCAGTTACTAGATCTGACTTGTACCGTGGGAATGAATGTGTCTGAGCAATGCAGCAGCTGCGGGAGGGTAAGTAACTGCAAGACAGCCAGGCGCTCTAGGGTAGGCATGAAGAATGAAACAGCAAGAGCTGTTCGGCTGATTTCTTGTCCCCTTCCTCAGGCGGGTGGAGATGAAGAAGCTGGGAACACCGTCTCTGAATGCAGCCCGTCAGCTGATGACAGTGTGTCGTGCCCGCTGTGTGATCGAGGGTTTCCAGCCACCGAGATTGAGCTGCACGCCATGTGCTGTAACGGCATCGGGGGACAGGATGCAAACGAAGGCGTTCCAGGTCTGCTAAGCACTTGGTCTCGTGCCTGGGTCCTGTGAGTGTGCGTGTGATTTCCCTCTCCTGCCCCAACAGCCTTGTGTGCTGGGGGTCTCAGCACCCCTCCGACTCTTGGCTACAGAGAGTGTAGCAAACACTCTCTTGCTGAGGCCCGCTGAGAGGTGTGTGAGAGACCTCCTCCCCTCTGCCTGGTTCCACCTGCCCCGGAGGGCGTGCTGAGCCCGGTGGCTTTCCAGCACTCATTGCACTGTCAAGTCTTAGAATTTCCTTGTAGTCAGTGTGTTACTTAGCAGTCCATGTGACCATCGCTCCAGGTTCCAGCCCTGGCCGTCTCCTGCAGGCCCACAATGCAGGACCCCTCTAGGACCATACCACGCACCTCAGCTAGGACAATCCCAGGCCCACGGAGCAGAGAGAAGGAGGGAGCCCTTCAGCACGCAGTCTCAGCCAGGGTTGTGTGTGTGTGGCACAGCATGGAGCACACAGCCTGCACTGAGAGTGTCCAACACATGGTGAGCTGTGGCGCCAAGTGCTGTGCAGAACGGATTGACTTGGTGAGAGGGAATATTCATAGATCCCAAGGCCAGGCCAGACCATTGTGATCATCTAGTCTGACCTCCTGCGTGGCACAGCCCAGAGACCTGCCCCACAATAATCTCTAGGGCAGAGCTGTTAGACAAACAGCCAATCTGGAGTTAACAATTGCCAGGGATGGGGAATCCGCCACCACCCTGGTAAGTTGTTCCAGTGGTTAGTTTCCCTCACTGTCAATTTTTTTTGTCTTATTTCCAGTCTGAATTCATCTGGCTTCAGCTTCCAGCCACTGGATCGGGTCAGACCTTTCTCTGTGGGACAGAAGGGCCCATTATTAAGTATTTGTTCCCCATGTAGTTATTGATAGACTGGAATCAACTCACCCCGCAACTCTCTCTTTAAGTTAAATAGATGGAGCTCCTCAAGTCTGTCACTACAAGGCAGGTTTCTAATCCTTCAATCATTTTCGTGGCTCTTCTCTGACCCCTCCCCAATTTACCAACATCCTTCTTGAACAGTAGGCGCCAGAACTGGGCACAGGGTTGCACCAGTGCTGAATACAGAGGGAAAACCACCTCTCTGCTCCTACTCGAGATCCCAGGATCGCATTAGGTCTTTTGGCCACCATGTCACACTGGGAGCTCATGTCCGTCTGATTAGCCATCACGACTCCCAATTCTTTGTCAGAGTTGCTGCTTCCCAGCAGACTAGAGCCCAAGCTCTGGAACCCTGTCGGGGGAGGTCCCAGAGCCTGGGCTCCAGCCTCAGCCCCAACGTCCATCCATCAATGTTTAGCCCTGCAGCCCAAGCCCTGCGAGCTCGAGTCAGCTGACGTGGGCCAGCTGTGGCCATGCCGCAGGGCTTTTATTCCAGTGTAGACGTACCCTTAGTGTACGCCCAGGGTTCACACTCAGGCTCTTGCCTACCCCGCCTTCCATCTCCACACAAGTCGCACTAACCCAGGGCTCAGACCCAGGGTGGAGGGTCCAAGCCTGAGTCCAGCTGGGATCTACATTCAAGCCCTGTTGCTTTGCAGTGGAGACGCAGCCCCACTGGACTTGTGCCCTGGGAGTTGGCAAAAAGTCTCCCACAATCCCACAGGCCAACTTCCTTTGTCCTGTGGCCAGTCAGGTTTGGTGGCCGGTCTCGTTCTCCCACACTGCACCTCAAGCTGAGGGCTAGAGTGGCCACATTTTGGGAGGGCGCAAAGAAGCCTGGTGTTTGGACTTGGGCTCGCATAATGCAGTGTAGACGCTGGGACCCAGGGTTCAACAGTTCCTGACCTGGGGTTATAAATGAGTGTAGATGCTCAAGCCCTAGGCTAACAAACTCCGGGTCTACAAACCCTGGGCTTACAGTGCAGTGTAGACAGCCCCTTAGGGCTTGTCTCCATGGGCAATTGACTGAAACGGTTCCCTGTGCGGACTGTATTCCAGAGTCCTGCTTCTGCTTTCCTGGGTGCTTGTTTCTGAGTGAATTCAGCAGGGCTTGAAGAGTTTGTTCTAAGCCCTAGACGCTGCGCCAGGACGGGGAGTGGTGGGCTCCTCGCTGCTGGTGTAATGAACGTTCCTGACCCCCGTGCTCAGCCCTAGTGAATGTGTGTGTCCCCCACCCCCAGGCACAAGCGCTAAAGGGCTGGTGAGTCGGGAATGAGAACTGAAGGACTCTGAAGAAGTTCCCACGTTCTGCCTTGGGTCACTGCCCTCTGCTGTGCTCTGCGGCTGCGACCACAAACATACCCAGCTCAGTATTCGGGAAGAAAGCCTAGAATTTTACCAGATACCACAGCTGTGGACTAACCTCCCATTCCATTCTGGCCCAGCCTTCCTGTTCCACAGTGAGTGACAGGAGAGCAGGAGACGCCATATGCCCCTCCCACACCTCACGTGCAACTGACACCCCATCATCGGTTTCCAGAGCACCAGCAGCAGTGCTGATACTGTACAAAGCTCCCAACACCAAGAGAAGTGGCACTGATGCAGCAAAAAGAGTAACACAACTGGGGCAGGGAAAAGCTTCATCACTTCTGAGACGGGCCAACATGCTAGAGAATCTTTCCATTAATAGGATCTGCACAAAAATAGCCTGCTGGTAATGGGACTAGACAGCTTGGGGTGGAGAGATGCAGCCTGAACAGACACAAGCCTTGTGCAAAAGGCAGGAAGCGTCGTCATGCACCGATGGCACTTCACACCTGCCGAGTGTCAGGCATGCAGTTATTGAGGCTCTCTACACGCTGGTGAGAGAGACCCACAGGCGGACAGACCAGGGACCTGCCCCAAGCCATGCAGCAAGCCCTGGCTCCCATTCCTGTGCACTGACTACGACCTGCCTTGCCTGGCCAGTGGTGATGGGGACAAGGGCAAACGTGGAATCGGGAGCGCTGGAGCCTCGCCCAGGCAGGACGCACCCATGCCCGGCTGTCCTGACACGGAGCTGATGGAGACAGGTCCATTCTCAGACATGCTGTGCATTGCAGAACATTTCACACGAGAGTGGCACGGCCCGGGAGAGGTGTGCTGGGACAGGGCTCTGTCTTTGGGGTGAGCCCAGGCCCCCAGGTGTGCTCTCTCTCTGGCGGGTCTCTTCGGAAAAGCCTCTCAAGGGATGGGGGGAGGGGGAGTTTGGAACCATAGCTGGCTCGTGTGCGTGTGGTGGAGTCGATCAGCAATGCTGGCCATGTTTCTCCATTCCTCCTGCTGCTCTCGGCAGCACAGCTGGGTCTTCCCGCGTGATCCCAAAGATTTCTAACAGGCCTGCCGTGCCAGATGTGCTCACTGCTTTTGGAAAAAATAGAACTGATTAACACCTGAGTGAGTGCACACGGCGTCCTGAGACGGCGTTAAAGGAATATTAACAGCTGCACCCCCATGGAGAGAGCTGCTCTCGCCATGCTGAGTTAGGAGGGCTCTGGGATCGGTACCAGGACACGGATAGGCCACTGGTTCACCCCTAGTCCAGGCGAGGGGCGAACAAGGAGTCCCTGCTGTGGGCTGTTGCCCAGTGGTTCATTTCTCCACCACAAGCATCTCTGCCTCACTCCTGGGAGCTCCCAGGAGGCTGCCCGGCTGCGTGTTGGGTGGTGCCGAAGGCAGCCGCCAGCTCTAGTCATTGACTGGCCTGCTGGGCCAGCACCGAGGAGAAAAGAAAATCAAGGCTTGCTTCAGACCTGGGCTGTGCTCCGGATTCAGGCGCTGAGCTCTGTGATAACAGACATTAGCAAACAGCAAGAGGTGGCCGGCGCCTGTATCCTGGAGTCAGGCCTTTCTTCTCAGGAGCCGAGCTAATCCCGGAAGCTCCGATGCCAGGCTGGAAAGCAGCTCTCGTGCACTTTGTCCCCGTAGCCAGATTGCCCGGGAGTACTTACAGCAATATCTGTTTATGAGGTGGAAACTCAAACATCCCTACCAGAGCCGGCCGAGCTATCGGAAACACTCCCTCAGGATTTGAGCGGGTGGCATGTCAGCAGGAATCTGCTGAGAGCAATTCAACCGAAAGAGACAAACACGTTGAAATTCTCCCTGCAGATGCCTGGAGAGCCGGTCTGCGGCACTGCTTGTTGGCTTCACTCATCAGAACACGAGTCTGGAAGAGGCTGCAGCAGCCACTGGCAGTCTGGGGGGGGGAAGCCCTTTTCTTCGCCCAGCGCCTATAGAGCCCTTTCCCCCGAGATCTCACAGCACCTGACTGGGGCTCAGTACCCCCCACGTGTCACACATGGGCACAGAGCGAGGCAGTGACTTGAGATTTACTATGCATCTCCGGGAGTCTGACCCAGCCATCCCAGCCCTCACCCAGGGGAGGGGACTGGAACTTTCTTGGAAGCGAGTCACACTCCTGGCGGGAGGGGCTCACCGGACCCACCCTTTGACCAGTCCGCTCTTCTCTCTGCCCGGTCCTTGACCTGGGTACACGGGGGAGCAGTGCTGCAGCTGGCTTTATCAGGTTGTAGGCCACTGTTCCATTTCACAGGACCTTTAGTTAAACCGCAAACTTGGCCCGAAGCCCCTTCCCAGGTTGGTTGGCTTCAGGAAGGATGGCAAACTCCCAGGACCCCGGCAAGACCAATCTGAGTTGTCCAGTTGCCAATTTTGCAGCCCATCAGCATCCCAGTGCTCCTTTTGCCTTTCCCATCACACATCCCACTGCTGCCAGGCGGCACCTGAGTTTGCCCCACGTCCCATCCCAGGTGCTTTCCAAGCCCCCGAACGCTGTCAGGAAGGGAGAAGTCACCCAGCAACTGGGTAACTTTCTGTTTGTGTCTTAAGCGCTCACTCAGCGACGGAGAGAAACAAGGAGTAGAGCTGGCAGAGGCAGAGACGTCCCGACACCCGCAGCCCTTGACAAGTAAGTAGGTATGCTGGCTTCGGAGAGCTTGTGTCTGTGCAGCCCATCCCCTAGCCCATCTCTATTCCTGCATGTTCCTTGTAGCAACGTCCCCGTAATCTGGGTTCTTCTCTTGGGGCCCAGCACTGTGATGTCTGGTATCTGGGGGTCCTCAGATGAGCACAAAAGAAATCTGTTTCTTTTCCTACTCTTAGCTGCATTCAGTTGATCTCAGCCAGCTCGCCGTGCGGTTCGGAAGTGGCGGGGCGGGGGTCAGGTGGGCCAAGGCAGGCACTTTGCTGAGTGCAGGAGCCTGTGGGAAGGAGCGGGGAGGTGGGAAGGCTGACAGGATGGCACCTGGAGTGATGACCTTAATTCACTTAGACTTCCAGAGTCACAGTGGTTTTGCTGAATCTCTCCCTGTGCAGCCCCACCTCCTCCCTCCCACACAGAGCCTCCGAAGACAGTACAATCCTGCTGGGGAAGCTATTCTGCCGTTACAAACAGTGGATGGCAACATCACTAATGGAATTAGGCTAATTACAGAGAGGACAGCTTCTGTTTAGACACATTCGCTGGTAATCAGCACTGCCTGGAAGGAGCATCGGAGAAGAACCCGCTGCGTGGAGCATGCTGGGGGCTCTCCATGCGCGTACTGGAGAGCGTGGGGCCTCCGGTAACCGAGACACCTCTCCTGAACAGCGACTGCTGTATCCACTGCTCTGCCCAGCTCACCCCGCCAGCCCAGCGCTGGCCTGCAAGGCTGCTGTACCCAGATGGGCACGGCCGCTGACTGGCACAGGGCTCCAGGGTGGTGCGGGCTAAGTAGGGACAGGGCAGAGACAGACTTGGGCTGCCAGTCAGACAAGGTGGCTTTCTGCTTTAACACGCTGGGTTTGCTTCTCCAGCAACATGTCACTCCCTTGTGCATCCCCTGAACTCCTCATTTCTGCAGTTGGACAGGGTGGTTTATGTCTGAGCCATCAGCCGAGCTGATTTCATTACCGTCCCACTGCTGCCGCCGCGGGGGACAGAGAAGCAGACAGGGAAACGGCTGATCGCTCCGTCGTTTGGACTGGCCTTGGGCTGGCTTGATGGGCGATCCCACCGAGCCAGTGCTGCTCCACAGACGGGCCGCATCAGGGGAATGGCCTGGAGAAGTCAAACGCCATGTTGGGTGTCAGTGAGAGCCCCGCTGCAGAGTGAATCCTAATGCACGGCTCTGCTTCCCTTGCACGGCAGGTGTGAGAAGTGCTACCTTTGTAAGGCCCTGGTGCCGCTGGTGGAGTATCCGAGGCACGTAGACGGCTGCCTGCAGACTGCGAGGGACGCTCAGGGAAACCGGAGGCTGCGCAGTGCCAAGGTGAGGGTGGAGTCCGGCCTCATTCCAAGGCCCAGGTGGGTTTGTTCTGCATCAGCGTTGCTGCTTGGCCTCCAGCGTGAGCGAGCGTGTGAGCGGCTGGGTGGACACGGCTCTGCCCACGGGGGAGCCGTGGCTACGGTCGCCTGTTGCCTTGTTACAACTACATCAACACACTCCAAGTGGGGGGAGGGCTGGCCTTGTCCTGCTGCACCCCAGTCCTGCCAGTTCCTGGGCTGACCACAGGTGGAATTGCTGGGAGAGAGGGAGGTGGGCACAGGGCAAGGGGACAGGACTGTGAAAGGGAGCCCGTTCCCGTGGGAGTCAGGGCCCCTAGCCAAGTAATCACTGCTCACAGAACGGGGGGGGAGGTGGCGGCGGCGGCAGCAGCATATGGAGGGCAAGGGTGGGGGGACGATGGTGTACAGAGGGCGGAGGTGTACAGGGGTGGGGGCAGTGGCATGTGGGGGTTCGCAGGGGGGCGAGAGTGTACTGTGCGTGGGGGGGTGGCGTGCGGGGGTGGCGGTGGGTGGAGAGGCAGTGTCGGGTGGGGGGTACTGGCATACAGCGGGTGGTGGCGGGGGGTAAGGGCGTACAGGGGGCAGCAGTGGGCAGGGAAATGAGGGCGGACAGGCAGCGCCGTGTGGGGCGGTGGTGGCGTACAGGGGGTGTGGACGGGACGGGCGGTGGCGGGAGGATGAGGGCGTACAGGGGGGTGAGGGCTGGGGGGCAGTGGTGTGGGGGGGGGTGAGGGCGTGCAGTGGGGTGAGGGCATGCGGAGGTGCAGTGGCGGTCGGTGGCGTACAGGGGCTGAGGGTAGGGGTGTTGCAGCAAGGTCAGGCCACCTGCCATGGTCCCTGGGAGAGGCTGGGCAGGGCAGGCTGGAGCCGGAGGGGCGCCCTCCCTGTCAGCCCCGTGATGGCTCTGCATTCTCCGTTGCCACAGGACGTTGGGAGGAGCGACGGCAGACTCCTCAGCATGCTGGAGATGTCCGAGTGCAAGTCTGCAGGTGGGGACACCACATCTCCGAAGCACACGCAGTGTGGGGCCTGGGCTGTGCCCACCACTGGGGAGTAACCCGGCGCTGCCCCAGTATCAGCTGGCTCCGAGCCCCCGGGGGAGCTGGCTGTTGGCAGCCATGGGGGAAAGGCCAGGGCCTGTATCTCCTCCCCATACGCTCCGGGAGCCCCACTGCTGCTCCAGCCCAGCACCTCGGTTAGCACAGACAGAGCCCGGTGCCACGACCAGCGCAGGTGGGGCAGAGGGACACCGGCGCAAGGTGCTTACAGGAGCTCTGAGCCCCTCGGTAACAAGGGTCTCGGCCCCTCAGCCTGACCTGTGGGTAGTGGCTGATTTCACCTGCAGCGCAGGCTCCGTTGGGGCTGGCTGCGCCCGGCAGTACGCCCGTGCCCCATGTTCCCCGAGAAGAGCTGGCAGGTGGGGGCGGGCTGCCTAGCCAGCCTGGGGTCTGTGGGGTGCAGTGGCCAGGCTCACCCTTGAGCAGATGGCGCGCTGGGGTGGAGAAGCCTCCCCAGCCCTGCTGCTGGCTTGTCCCCATGTTGGGCTCTGGGGCCAGGGCCCTAGGCGTGCTGGTAAGCGCTGTGCTCGGAGAGTCGGCATCGCTGCTCCGTGTGAGGGACGGCCCGGCCAGGGGTTGGGAGTGTGAAATGCCCCCGACCCCAATTCCTGGCGCGCCCCGGGGAGCAGGCCGCTCCTGCTCGCCGAGTGCAGGCGGCTGGTGGCAGCGGTGCCGCTGGCTCCCAGAGCCTGAGCTGCTGCGTCGTACGAGGCCCCGCTGTGTTCTCGTTGCAGATGCTGTTACGGGGGCCGTGCTGGCAGCAGGAGGAGACCCGAGGTCGGCCGGTGCTTTGTGAGCTGCAGGTTTTCTTCCCCCAGCAGCGCGGTGTGGCTGGCTGGCCTGGACAGCAGCGCCCGGCCCTGGCTGCGACCGTGCAGAGCCCGTGGAATGAGCACTGCCAAAAGGGCTCCCCTCCCGCGGCTCTGCTCAGCCTGGCCCTGCTTCCACCGGCCCCTTGTGAGCCCCGGGACAGCCTCAGTGCCAGCTCCCCACTTCATTCCCCAGCCCTGGGCCCTTCCTTCCTGCTGCTTCTCTCCCTTTGTGCCCCTTGCCCAGGCTCGTCCCCTCCTGCTGTCCGCAGCTGAGCCGGGGCTCCTGGGGAGTCACGCTCCGGGCCCCCCGCAGCTGGCCGCGCTCGGTGCTGCCCAAGGACAAGCTGGCTGGAGGTTGTGGCCAGCTGACCTGTTCGGAGGCTGTGCTGCGTGCAGCTGCTCCCTGGCTCCTTTGAGGGCAGGGCGGCACAGTGGGGCTGGGGAAGGTGGGCAGGCAAATCCTGCGAGGTGGAGGGGCTGCTCTCCACTCGGGGAAGGGCAGGTGGGGGCTGGTTCGGGGGGTGCAGGGAGCTTGGTTTGGGGTTGTCCTGGGCTGCTAGACTAGAGGACTGCCCGGCCCCCTCCTAGGGCTCATCCCGGGCCCTTCAGCGAGCTCCCAGGCCAGCTGTGCAGGGCGCGTCGGGCAGCTCCTTCCCAGCTGCTGACAGGTGCAACGCCAGCGAGTGTTCGGGCCTGGACAGGAGGGGGCAGAGCAGCTTGCGGCGTGAACGGGAGCCTTGGCGGCTGGGCCTAGACGCTGCTCAAAGGTGCTGGCTTCTTGCCTGGATTGGCATTTATCTCTTGCATTCCCTCCCCCATTCCCATTAGGCACGCCCCATCGGGGGCTGAGGAGGAAGCCGGCGGCAGCCTGGCCCGGGAGAGCCCCCTTCCACACATGGCTTTCAGTGACTTGCCCAGTCCATCCTTGGTGTCTGCTCCCGAAGCCGCGGGCTACGCGGGGGGCTTCCAGCAGCAGAACAAGGGCAGCCGGAGGAGGAGGAGGAAATTCTGAGGCGTGAGCGATGGAAAAGGGACCTCGGGAGACCCACAGCGAAGGGGCAGCAGGGCCATAGCGAGAGCCCCGGGCAGAGCCCCTGCCCACGGCCAGGCAGCGTGACGTGCTTGTGTGCCAGGGCTGGGAGCCGTGGGCGAGAGACTCACTGCGGGGCGCTCGCCAGCCAGACACTGACATATATTTATGGATGTTTTTATGAAATGGCAGCGACCCGGTGGAGCATTCTGCGTCTT